TATTTATTCATATCTCTAGTGTATTTAGTTTGTATGGTATGTTTATTATTTTATTCTATTCTAATGGGCATCTACAGGACGGATTCCAACAGAATCTGATTGTATTGTACTGGTGCAGTGACTGTAAAGTAATCTTATCTTACAAGTGAAGGCAGGTGTGAAGGTTAGAATACCAGACAGGACAGGGAGGGTAAGAGGCGAGTATGAAATGGGGCACTGAGAAGGGTCTGACCAGTGTTGCATTTGGCTCAGAAAGTGGAAACTGGCCATGTGAACGTGTGAGGCAGAAGAGGACAGATACCCACAGCTGTCATCTGTCCAGCAGGCGTTTCCTCCTAAATCCAAACCACCAGACATAAACTCAGCAAAATCCTGCTTGGCCCAGGCCCAAACTCTTTTTTTCTTAAGGTAATGCTGGGAAATTATTACTACAGAGCAAAGAATGTGATTAGCTGTTTCACAATCATGAAAAACGAATATAACTTTGATAATCTAGACTTTCCAATAAGAGGACGCTCAAAAATCTACCATGAAATCCATGGAAAGAACATTTTTTCGAGTGAAATATGCTTCTTCGCTTTCTTGCAAGAGCTAGATGAGAACATTGATACCACTCTTGCATCTTTTAGGAAGTTACAGCCAGCAAATGGTTAGCTTAGCATCGCATAAAGTCTGGCTCTGTCCAAGGGTATGGTACAGATTTAACAAAGAAGATAAAGGATACAGTAACTTATAAATGAGTCAGATTTAAAGGTGCTGGTAGGTGGATCTTTGTTTTCTTTGGACTGAGCCAGGGAACCTGTTTCCTCCTGTTTCCTGTCTTTATAGTTTACAGACACAAGTTGAGTGGTACTGGTCATCCCAAGAAAGTGAAGCCATTATGTGGTTATCTGGTGCTGCTGTGGCTGTGTCAGGGGGTAGAGTGGGCCGTCCACTAACCAGACGGTTGGCAGATTGAGTCCAGTCACTCCATTCTGCATGCCAGAGTGTCTTTGGGAAAAATACTGGCCCTCATATTGTCCCTGAAATTGCATTAGTGACTGATGTCTGATAGAGAAAGTGCTGCACATGAAATTAATGATTGAATACCAAAAACTGTACAGTAAGGCGCTTTGAGTGGTCCTGAAAACTGAGTAAGCTCAATCTAAATATACGGACTGTCTATCTAAAATATGGAACAATTTATTTAAGTATAGGGAATTTGCGTGCTTATCATCAGGATCATTGCAGGGACAGAAACTCATTCGTAATGAATGCAGGTTTTCCATCCTGCAGGCCATCCTGAGGCTAACTCTGACCTGGACATTTCTACAAGGTTTCCTCATCTCACAGTCACTCTAACCACTGTGTGACTGCACTGATTCATTCATTCTGTGGATTTTATCCAAATACTTTTATCCTGTTCAAATACAGTCATTCTTGTTCTTGTTTGCGAGTTGCGTCTGAGAAAAAAGAAAAACATTCTTTATTTAGCCAGCTTTGACCATTACTGAAACATTTTCAACCCCCCCCCCCCCCCACCCACACACACACACACACACACACACACAAACACCCACCCACACCCACCCACACACACACACACACACACACACACACACACACACACACAATGTACATGTGTGAACTTTAGACTGTAGTCTAGCCAGTGTCTGACTAATGCTTCCACTACTGAGCATTTCTTCCGTTTTACTCAGCTTTACCGCCCGGCTGCATGTTTGTCTGCACGTGACCGCAGACCCCCATCCGCTCGACGCCCCTCCCTGCAAAACTTGGCAGGGATGAATGATAATCACGCCAGTTTAGATGAAAAGCAAGTGAACAGTGAGGCCCTTTGAAATGACTTTCACATGGGCCCCAGCCTAACTTCTGCCTCAGCGGCCCCCAGTCTACCTGACCCACTTCACTGACCAAGTGTGCATGAGATGATTACATACATCTGAAATATCTATTACAGCTGCTCCCATCATGGAAATGAATCTCAGACTAATTTAATGATCAATATTTCATGACTGAAATATGTCAGCAAATTAAAAGCATGACCTTGTTTAGATTATTAATCAAATTAGAACAGTTTAAAGCATCATAGAAGGGGATGATGTCCAGAAACAGATATATTCTAACATTTGTTTTCTTGCTTAGCATTTGATGTGACAATCAACACAACTCCCTGTATTTCTTTTGAAAAAAAAAACACAGCAAAGAGATGGTTGGTTCAGATTAAAACTAGCGAAAAACAGCCTGGCTCCATCCAAGGGTTAAAAAAAATCCCCGACCAGCACCTCTAAAAGCTCTTTAATCAACAGGCTTCATCTTGTTTGCTGAGTATGTATAAACAGAAAAATGTAAAAGCAACTGTTTGGAGCTTCACAGAGGCTTATCTGCCCAATGTTTTCTTGTTGGAAGACAGTTCCACCCTGGACTCTTGTCACTGAGAGTTTGCCAGATGACCAGCTCTCTGATGATAGTCCATCACATAACCTCCCATTACACCACAAGTTGCTGTTTTTACACTTAAGTGTCTGTGCGGATTAAATACATGAGATATAATATGTTGAAATTAGCTTTAGACTATCTAGGGTTTTTCTAAATTAGGGGCCATTTATATGTCCATAATATCCATGCAAAGTTCCTAATTTGGAAATTGATCCTTGTTTAAGATGGTTGTGTACTTCAAAAAAGCTTAGAAAATAAATAATCTTAACAAATTGTAATATTTAATGGTAGCATAGTTAGTATGAATGCACAGGGGCACTTTGGGGCCAATCTGATTTCAGCTTGGGCCAGTGCCCCCCAGTGCTGTTCCTGGATCCACCTGTCTCCGAGACATTCTTTTTAAGTGATTCATGAGCACCATTATCTTAGCTGAATATCTCTTATTGTGTCATATCTATATTTAGTCTTGCAGAAGACAGTATGTGCAGCGCTCATACAATAAATCACATCTATTGACAATAAGTTTCAGGACTTATGGCACTGTGCAGTCGAGAAGAGGGCTGAGGCCACAGAGGGATCCAGCTGTTGAACATGTGGTAAATCTGTCTACTTTTCTATCCACAAGAGAGACCAACTGGCTCCTGACTCCTGACATGCATCAACCTCTTCTCCCTTCGATCAGTCTCCTCCTCACGAGCCTCTCGCATACATCATGCAGGAGGCTAACCCACTTTGTCTCCGGTTTCCTTTTGCTTTATAGCACAGAATGTGAGGCCCTGAAATTCTTGTAAGGGGACACCATCCCGCCTCACGGAGATGTGCAGCCTTTACCCTGCAAAGAATCAAAAGCCTTTTAGCCGCTGCATTCTGTTGTTACAAGTGGCTTCTGACGTCTTTGTGTTGATTTAAGATCCAAGTGTTTGGTGGAAGTAAACACACTAATGGTCTGGCAAACAACTGCAGCTGCTTTTTGTGCAGATGTTTTCTAAACCCTTCAGGAGGAAGACTAAAGAAGAACTCATCAAGTTTGGTCACGTGCTTGTAACGATGTACAATGATCTAAAAGCAGCAGCGTGCAATCTCTACACGAACAATGCAAATGTATCTGCATTCGTTTGTGAAGAAACAAACAAAACATGACTAGGAATGGGCTTTTGTGAGCTCCCACTTGAAATTTCTCTTCTCGTGGGGACAATGTGATATGTAATGATTACACAAGTACATAGCAATGCCACACACTAACAAACATGGTGGAGAAGCTCTAATCAAACTTAACCATGAAGCTTTAATTATTCTCAAATGACACAGCATACTCTCACATAAACATCTAACATATACAGACTTGAACTTTCATACATCTTCTAATAAAGGAGACGTATACAACTTTGATCCTCTCAACATTGTGACACGTGCAGCGAGCTGTTCCCATATAAAAAGCAGAAGAACACAGCTGAGTTCATTCAACAATCCTTGCTGTCGGATAAACAAAATTCCCAGTGTCTGGTTCTGATGTCGAATGCAAGTCACCCTATTTACTGAGAGACTCAGGCCTCTGCTATGCACAAACACATAAGTAAAGCAACCGTGCTGAACTATCCCAAAGACAAATTGTCCATCATGTATAAATACATAGATTCCAGGCAGTGTCGCTGAAGCATTGAAGCTGGTTGAAATAATTAAGATTATCCATGGTAATGATTCAGTCACAGAGGAATGTTAGTTCCGTTGTTGTGTTAAAAAGCATTACGTAACCGGTTGTCATGGGGAGAGGAAGAGGAATCTGCAGAGGTCAGATCAGTAGCAGACTGAGATATGCACGGTCGTTACAGAGGTTAAATGACGGCTCTGATTTAGACTGTGTGAGAAAAACACTTTCAGCAATATGACTTTGATATCCTGCTAACGCCCTACGACTGTTTTAGTCGTGTCTACAGTTCAACGCGTCTTTGATTGACTCGGCTAAAATTTGAGACGTGCAAGTTGTGCCAGCGGAAGCTGCTGTTTTCATTAATGACAGACTGATGTTTTCAGTAGACTATCATTTGTGGTCTAAACTGAACTTGCCAGAATGAGCTGTTATGGTCTAATCTTCACTTATTCCCATACACTGTCAAATTGTCTCATGATGTATCCCTCACAAAAACAAGATAATTACAGTTTGAAGCAACTTTATGACCTGTACAGTTACCCAGAAATACTTACAAAATACCTAATTTTTGTATAATTCAAATGGTAATTAAAATGTTATCTGCAAAATTCAGGTATACCATATAAAAACGATTCAACAAATCACTACATAACACTAAAAGTTGATGGAAACCTTTTAATGCACCAGTTTTTAAACGTTTAAAAAGATTCAAATTGATGAAGACACTGAGTGCTTCACTCTTTTAGTTTTACCATTACTTACACTATAGTACACTCATGGTTGGGGTGTTAACTTTTCAGGTGCAGCACAGAATCTCGATTCATGCTGTGAATAAACAGATTGAAGGAACAGTGCCGCCCATCGTTGACGTCAGCCCATGCATGGTTAAAGGTGTATGGCTTTAGCCAGACCAAGGAAATATTTACAGGGTGGGGGACTGAGGTAACTCCCCAGAGGCCCTAGAAGCACTCAACATATAAGGAACAAGAGGGTGCTGCTTATGGACCCGACCTGGAAAAAAAAAATCCTGAAAAGGGTTCAATAGTGCTTTCATTGCCATGACTCAGCTAGAAGGTTACACAAGTATTTCAGGTGAACTCCTCAGGCTTGTCGTCTAAAATGAATCCAGTAAAAAACGCAGTCACACTTCTGGCTGTTGTAGAGAGATGGGTTATTCAGCAGAATCTACCACCCTACATCTAGTATACATAAGAACAAAACTGTAAAACCAAAGCAGTAAAAAAAGGACTGCCTTGTAAGCTGTTGTAAGTGTTGCTTCATCAGTGTCAGTCTGGTTTTAATAGAGAAACCATCTGTGGCAGTGTGTTTTCAATGACTTATTCTCAGACAAGCTGAAGGAATGCCGCTATCCTCCTTTCTCCCTCTGTCTCGCAGTCACAAACCCACGCTGACTTTCCGTCCGGCACAGAGGCGGTCTGAGACAGGATGGTCTTCCCCCTCTCTGAGTCATGGCTGCAGAGTGGGCCGGGGTCTGCTGAGGGCTGGTGACAGACTAATAGCAGCGTGGCAAAGTCATCAGTGCAAATGGTGGAGTGGACAGCTCAACATTATTCGCTGACTAGTGGATTATGTCATCGGCCTGATGTCAGTGCAGATGTGACTACCTGCACGTCTTGTCCAGACAGACTGATTTAATATCCATAAGGACATTTCCGTTACTGGTTGTATCCATTTCATCATAAAGATCATAAAACACTGGTGCGAGTTTCAGCAGCTGTTCATAAGTTCTTATTGACTTTGGTTAATAATAACTTAACAAGAAGTGTTTACCAGATTGAAATAAATTGCAATCATACTAGATCATATGTAGACACTAATGTTGGTAAATATATATGCCTACATAACTGCCATTTGTAACCTTTTAGCTGGCTTAACTAAAAAAATAATAGTACCTTGCTAAATATGAACAGAGCAATAGCAGAATAAGAATATTGTCCATACGTCTGTCTGGCACTTATATTAAAATTCTCTGTAACTCTGTAAAAATGATAAAAACAAGAATATTGGAATTACATTTTATAAAAAAACTAAAAAAATACCTCAAATTAGTAAGTATTCTCCCAGTCACCATTAGAGTGAATGAGCAAAGAAAGTATATAATGTATAATAATTATGGAATATTTCCACACCTTCTAAATTGTATAAATACTACTAAAACTGATACATTTGCTTCTATGCAGTATACATATTAACAAGTCACACCTAGAGCAAGTTTTATATATTGTTTGGTCACTTAAACTGTATTTTTTTATTTGTGTTACAGTTTGTGAGCTACTGTTACTGTTGAAGCTACTTAGTTTTTAATTGGACATTACTAGTCTAAACAGGCCAAGGCATGATAAGTCAAGTTTTAATGGTGCAGTCTGATAAAAGTAACCACTGGTATGAGACTTGTCTGACTTGCAAAAACATTTTGTAATAGTTGCTGCCACCCTGTCCTGACCCGTATGTTGGTGTTCAGTCGCTGTGGTTGGAGCGAGGATATGAAAGTTAATCAGTGAACCAAGAAGACATATCGATGATGGATATTTCATCCCATAGCAAGTTTATCTGTATTTCCTTTGGGACAAGTGAGCCTCAACAATGTGGGGACTATGTTTTAATCCAGTGAAATATTGTTCCCCTTATGACCCACAGACAGACAACTCACATGTGGTGCAAGAATTTTCTTTCATCCCGAGCCTGTCCTCTTCTTTTTTTATTGTGAACATCTGTTCAGGTTGCATGTGTGTACTTGAACCATGCGTGGATGGTAGTAGCTGGCTGGAAATGATCCCACCCTGGTGTTAAATTTGTGTGACATGGACCTACATGTGCATGTTTGATCGTTTAGACATAAGTGTGTAGCTCAATGCGAACTCACCTCGTCACCATGGGCCTGGTTCCGGATGAACTTGAAGCCTGCAATGCGCTTCTGGTTGCACACCACCCCGACATCCTCCGAATGTTTGCAGTCAGACACTCCAAAGCCGTTGGACTCACACTGAGCCAGACTCTTCTCTCCACCAGTGCAGTGCACGTTGTCGAGCCAGATACGGCCTGGAGCGAAGAGGAGCAGAGTTATGTGTGAACTGACACGTTCTCTGATGAAGATAAAGGGTTTCTGCGAGAAGACTCAACAAGTTTTGAGGATGTTTATTCTAATATTATCTGTGAGGAGTTTTTTTTTCTTATTATCTTTGAACCTCTTCTGTTAGTTAAATTAAATGAGCAATGATAAAATGTCATCTTGGGTTTTAGGAAAGTGTGACCAGCATTTATTTTTCTAAATATTTTATAAACCAAGTCATTTTCAATTATTTGTGAAGAAAAGAATCATTAGTTACAGAGTCCTTGTTGACCGTCAGCAACTTTTAGAGTCATGATGCTGCTTCCTTGGCCTGCAGGTCTGACTTGTGATTTGAATGTACAACCTTTTTTAGAAATATCATGAAATAACTAGAATGGCACTTATGAAACCACACTATTTTTATCAATATCCATGAATTATGCTCTGAGAGAAAATAAATTGAAAGACGCCCTATCTCGCAATTTTAAAGAAAGTGAAAAAAAAATCCTCGATCCAACCCCTGATCTGAATTAACTGGATTCTTCCTTGGGTCATGTCCCACCCAAACCAAATCACACGAATGCAAACAAAAACATTAACCTCCTTGACTAAGATGAAAATAAATTCTGTACTAAAGGACGTGCATTTCATATTACAATGTGAGTCATCATTCATCCTTGTTATGGCAGGGCTGATGCTGCACTCTCCACTGAGCAACATGTTGCCACAATCCCTGTCCCTTTCCCTGACAGAGGATTACTTCATTTGAAAAGTAAAATTAAAGAGTGCTTTCAATATTGCACCTTTACCGTCTTAAGCCGCGTGTCACACCCCGTTGACATCTATCTCAGCATTTCCACTGTCGTCTAGTCACAGAGACAGTAGACCTACTCACATGGAGATGTGTTTGGTCTCCACCATAACCTGACGCATCTTTTCAGCCACAACCTGGCCAATAAATGCTGTAACGGCTGAAGTGGATCATCTGCCGTCCAGCTGCCTGTTCCGGATCAGCCTGCTGAAGCACGGAAACCCCAACAACTGTAGGAATGGAAACCACCAACGGATCGCTCCTCTGACTGTCTCAACACGCTGCTGAGGAACATCCTGATCATACCAAGAAAGTGACTGAGTGTTATACGGTCACGTAGCCTCCTCCTGGCAGCAGATGATTACCTCGGGAACATTTTTTCATAATAGGAGCCAAGTTTCCTGGTGGTGATTTACTGCAGACAGTCCACGTGACAGCCAGCCTGATCTCAATGCATTTCTGGCTAAAGAAACATTCAGAATAGCCAGTTGTAATTGTTTTGAATTGTTGTGTTAAAACCATCATTTGCTAGCTGGTGAAAAGTGGGAGCGCAGCCTGCAGGGAGCCATTAATTTTCAAATTGGGCTTTTATTGGCGTTCTGAGTCAACCACATAACCTAAACTCAAAATTATAGCAAACTGGAACAGAGCATAGTGTTCCTAAGTGGATCTGAATAAATGTGAATTTGTGATTTTATTACCTGAGTTTGCAAATTACAGCTGTGCAAATGCTGCTGGGAATCGGAATAACAACCAGGCAGGAAAATTACTGCATCCAAAAGGGAGATGTCCTTGTACTTGTTATGTGGTTATGTCTTCAATTGAAAACATGTGATGGTCTCTTTCAACAGTCACAATGATGATGGGAAAAAGCTCTTGATCACTTTTACAGCCATGTGTCTCTACAAACAACAAGAAAACACACGCACACAGCCTCAACCTTCCTCTCTAAATGATTCTCCTTTAAACTAATTTGAATCCATTTGTCAGAATAAAGAGAAACCTCCTCAAAATGGCCCAATCATTTTCTGCACCCATTTTAAGTGAAAATTCAACTTTAATCTTTAGGAACGCAGAAGGGTCACACCCTGACCACATCCACAAATGCCTCCATCTCTACATTCCTACATCACATTCAGTGCAAACATTTTCCTCTCTGCACAGACAGGCCATACATAAACATCACACTGTTTTGCTGCTTCTCATAAAATGGTATTTGCATCAACATTACATGCATGGGGTCTATTACTTTATAAACGTAATCCTTAAAATTGCTATAATGACTCTGGTGCTTTGGGAAGTAAACAGCCAAGGTAATTACTTCACTGTTGAAGTGGCAGGCTGGATGTGGCCGAGACCCAGTGGGAAAACATGCCTTTAACAAGGGACACTGTTTTAATTAACAACTTACTCATACATATACACCACCAGCAGCTACAGCTTTGAAAATCTTATCAGGGTTTGTTTTTTTACAGTGATGGAGGAATTCACATGAGATAAAGAAAAAGGGGATGAGATTATGTCTCATGTGTGTTTTTTCATTAAATGTGTGCGTGTCTGGTTAACACACCCAGTGTTTCCAGTCTTGACCCCCCACCCAACCCTGGTGCTACTTCATGAGCTGATTGGCGTCTCTCACGTCTCCTCTAATGGGGAAACCAGTGCCTCAGGATATTAGCAGACGGGGGAAACGTGTACCTCATTCAAAGATGTTTTTTCCATGGAACACATGACACAGTTTGAAGAGATATACTGCGTCTGTGTGGTTGGTTGATTGGCAGTTTGCAGAGATTATCAACCATCAACCCTCATCTCAGGTCTTAAACAGCTGAAGAACGTGGGTTTGAGATGAAATTTCCAAAAATATCAACATATACAACTTTTTCTTACCTTCTCCTCTTCCGTACTTGGCCGAGGGCGACCAGGACTCTGCATTAATGAAGCCAAGCTCTCTGCACACCACGTGGGCAGTGTAGATGGAGAAGTCGTCATCACACACTGTCCCCCACTCTCCATTGTAGAAAACCTCCACCCTACCCTCGTAGTGTTTCCGCTTCTCTCCAACGAGACGGAGCTGGATCACAGGTGTGCCAGAGTTTGACTGAGCATTGCACAGCGCACACATGTACAGCAAAGAGAACAAGGCACCTGGGTGCAGCATGATGCAGGAGGATGGAGGAGAATCTAAAAAGAAGATGATGAGTGACTGTCAGAGGCTGTTTCAAGCTCAACTCAACAATTCTCTTGATTATTACCTCTATCAAGGAGGATATGTTTTCACCTCTTTTATTTGTTGGAAGATTTTTGTTTGCAAAATTATGCAAAAACTACAAGAAGAATTATCAATGCTCTCGGTGGAAAGATGTGATAGGGTTCAGTGTAGAACCTATTAAATGTTTACTGCAGATTCAGATCTGACGGCAGATCCAGTGGATTTTTTTATCACTTTCTTGAACACTGCGAGATAAAAAGTTGTTTTTGACATTTTAATTGATTTCCCACTGAACAATTCATGGAGCAGGCATGGAGCCTTGTCCATAAGTTGGTTTATTATAAAATCTTGCACATGCTACAGTTTGGTTTGGCTATCATGAAGTTACCAGAGATCCCTCACCAGCCTCTCTACACCACAAATATAAGTTTGAGGATCAGTAAAAATGTGAAACTGCATTTGACTGCCAATAAGGGAGAGAAGAAGTGGAATTTGGGTGAAAATGGAGGTTGTGTTGCTGAGACAAGGATTCCTGCCTCTGTCTTTCTGACAGCCTAATGAGGAGCAAATGTGGGCCTCTGCAGGGTGGGTGCTGCCCCTCTCACTTATCTACTGATCTCTGCCTGAAGGCTGCACAACTGAGAAGGAAAGTTAACTCTCCATCGATATTTCATGGCAGACCATGAAAGTGTCAACGGACGGACCAAAAGCCCTGGGGGAGGAATGTTCCTGGAGTTAAATGAGGGGAGGAGGACAGTGAAAGTAAGGAGACCTCCAGGTCTGTGGTGTGAGGAGGGAGAAGGAGGAGGAGGATGAGGACGGGGGTGATTTCCAAGTTGACGTCATAGTAACAGCCAACAAACTGCAGAACGCAGGGGCTAGACAAAACACCCCTGGTGTACACACTCAATAAACTGTGAGACGTCACTTGAGATCCTCCAGTGAAAAACCTCTGGGAGGAACAAGTTCAGCAGGAGCTGCTTTGATCTGGCCTCTTGAATTTCAGTGTCTCTGACACAACTTTTTCAGAGTCCACTTATGAACACACTTGTGAACTAACATAATGTGTTACCTCCACAAACCTTTGAAAAATGTACACTTCTCCTGAATTTGTGTTGTGTAGGGTCTATACTTCCTACAAAACCAGCTACAGAAACACGCAGGAACAATAAGACTAGGGGAGAGTCAGTGAAAGGTCTTTCCAGTCAACTCGATATTCCAAAATCCCCACATAATGAATTTATGGCTTCCTCAGTCAAAGCCAGTGCTTTTTCTATTTCCTATTGTTCATGAGTGAAAAGCACAAATCAACCATCAAGTGTCTGTTAAGCCTGAACAGGGGAGTCCTGCAGCTTCTTCTGGGAATCCAGACACATATAAAATAAGAATACTTTCCCTCTCTTCTGCATTTGGGTTAATAATGCATTGCAGCAATACAAACATTATAGCCTATGTTTAGATCAAGTTCACTTTAAATGGGTGTAACTCTTGTTTGGTAAACTACTACAGAAGATAAAATGACTGCAAACTACTTTTTACAGTGATCATTAATTTAAATATTCATCCTGTTTATGTTCCAAGTCATGCAGAGGGGACAAAGAAGGAGAACTGTGCAGTTTGCAGAGAGTCTCATGTTTCAAGAAAAAGTTTCACAGATTCCTGCTCGTGCGGATCAGATCATCCTATCAGAAGTTGTCTATCCTGACATGAAGATGAAAACTTACCTTTACAGACGGAGAACAGGCGGCTCAGTCCTCCACACACACACCTTCCGTTTTCTGGGCTGCAGCAGAGGATGAGTTATGCAGCAGAACTTCTTCCTCTCTTCTCCTCCTCTGCCTCTTTTCTCCTCTCACTTCTGCCAGCGCGCTCCCGTCCCACTCATCGCCGCGGCCAGCAGCCAATCAGCGACCACCTCAGCATCCTGGACCCGCCCACTCCGACTCGGTCACCATGGGTTACAAAAACACTCTGCACGTGCTGGAAAGACCCTGGACCCGGATCTGAGGATTATGAAACCCAGCTCAGTCTCATGGCCTCATCAAGTCCAACACTGAGGCTGCATCCTCCATGAGAACATTATTCATAACTCCAGAGAGGTCAATAACTTATTGTCAATGATTATAGGCTATCATTAAATCCTATTTTATTTATTAACTGTACAAACTGCATGTCTTTAATCATACCATCCAACACAGACCCCACTTCCCAAAATGTCTTCTCAGTGTAACAGAGATAAAACGAACTTTATTGTTTTTAATTTGTATTTTTAAAATGTATTTATAATTAAATGATTAAGTGAATTTAATCCTTGTGTATTTTTGTATTTACCATGATGTTTCATTGCTGTGTTATTCTACTATGTCTTTGGAGACTGGACAGTTTTTGTTGACATTTTTAAACACACAGTTTGGTTTTGCAGGTGCAGAGAAACACCAGAAGGCGAATACCTGGTTTTATATTTTCCTCGGCCGGGGCCATTAAATGGTGGAGAGCAGTCCTCTGAGTCCTCTGAGTCCTCTGAGTCCTCTGAGTCCTCTGAGTCCTCTCAGTTGTCTCCTGTCTATCCTAAAGCACTAGAAGAGAAATTTGGGGATACTCTAGGAGTGTATCTGTAAAGTTTGGTCAAGCTATGTTTTAAAAGTTGTTAAAATGACTAGTGTAATATATTTAGGACTTAAATGTTAGTGAAGGCTAGTTTAGGTGAATTTCTCCACTGAAAATCATGTCTGCTGCTCTGTGCACCTTCTGCCTGCTGGTAAAGCTGTTTTGGTCCACCTGCATACAGACATTAGTTGGCAAAGTTAGGACAACAGTTTCCATCGAACAACACCAAAGTCAAGTCCACTCGCTTTCTTTCTTTCACAAGATGAATGACAGACCAAGTAAGAAGTGATAAATCTGTGGTAGATATTCTTACAAAAGAAACATTTAGAATGATCTCTTTATTCCAATCCAAAGAACAGCAAGCAGAAAACATTATTGGAATGTAAGAAGAGAAACTATCCAGATTGTATCTATGATAGTTCCCTCTCTCCCTTCAGTAAATCCTACACGTGTAAGCCTCCTCACTGACAATGATGTTGACAGTGAAGTGGCCGACCTGTCAGAATAAGCTGAAGCTGACCAGAGCCATGTTTGTTTTCCTGTGGTTTCTGAGGACTCCACCATGTGGTGAGAAGGTGCTAATCCAGGGATGTTGCAGACTGAATAACTCAATAGACACAGTTTCAGAAAAACATACGTCCATATAGCATACAATTTAAAACATATGCACAAACATCTTGGTCAGGTTGAAACAGAACAGGGGAGTATTAAAACATACAACTGCAGCGCTGGTCCCAGTTAGTAACTCAACTACCTTAGTGTCATTTCTCAATCTACATTATAACAATGTCATCACATCCTAAATATATACTGAAATGTTTCCTTACAAATTAATCGACCACGCCACATGGGCGAAGATAGACTGTTTTGTTGATGTATTTATGGACACATTGTTATGGCTGTTAAATTTGACTGCTGGATGAAACTGCAGGCTCCTGACTGACAAACAAAACACCACAAATGACATGTCTGTAAAAAGTAACCGTGGAAAACTGGCTCCTCCTAAGGATTGAAAACCATCTGTCTGAATTTACTTCTGTTTATGTTCATCTCTGGTTTGTCATGCACAGCTGAAATGATTGAGGCAGAGGAGGACGGTGGCATCATATTAAATCTTTTAAACCATTTATTCAGGAATGCACAAAATAATCTGAGTATATTCTTAATAATTCGTCAAGTCTACAAATATTAGCAATGGAAATTCAGAATACTCTTTTCATAAAGTATAAAATTCACGCATATTGTAATGTGACAATGGGTTTGCATTGAAAAGCACCTTCACTGTAACACCAACACAACTGGACAAGGTCACACTGAAACCCATCTCGGTTTACATATACAGACATTTGGCAACTGATTGTGCTGACGTGAAATAAGGTCTCTATACAAAAACCTGTCTTTTATATATGATACATGTCTGAGTGATATCTGAGATATGTTCATAATCTGCCCCCACATCACAGACCTTGACCATAAAAGTAATGTGGTCCATCTTGTGCACACATGAATCATTGTTTTTTAACTGCAGGTAAAACATTATAACTGTAAACCCATGCTGCTCACTGTTGTACTTTAGTCATAGAAATATACATTTTGGCAACAGACTTTAGAAACAATGAGGTGGGACAAATTTTCTTTTTCATAATAAACAAAATAAAGGCACACCAGCAACATGTGAACTCACACATACAATATGAATACGATCCAAATATATCTACATGGCATCATCAGACTGTGCTTTTCCACACTTGAATGCAGAGTGCGAGAAAATGAATCTTGGCACATGGTTCATTATTAAGTATAATAAGCAAAGTTTTACTGCTTAAAACTTTCATCTTCACCCATCATCAAACTCCCATCAAATGAAGATATTATATAACTGAGTGAAAAGTTTGAGCTTCATAAGTGCTCCTGAAATTTAACAATCCCAGAGATGTAAAGGGGTAAAATCTACAAGATGTAAAAATATTGTGGTTTGACTTCAAAATCTGTGAGACAATAATGATAAAATGAAAAATGCAACTTATGAAAATATCTGTAATATTACTTCCAGCTCATTTACAGATGATAGAAAATAAACAGCAGAGCAAAACTATATGTATCGTAAATGATATACCAGCAAATGTTAAACTTAATACTTTGATCATTTGTTCTTCCTCTATCAGATTCAACATTCAAATGTTTTCTTTCTCTTAGTTTCCTCATTATTTTCTACAGCTTTGTGTGAAACAAGTTTGATTAAATGATGTTGAAAAAGAAGAAGAAAGATGAAAATCATCACGAATAATCATTTAACCTCAACATTATTAATTCAATCCTAAAAAAATCAATAAATCATAGCAGGAATATAATCACTTGACTTTTCCTTCAATATAATTAAAATAATCTTGATAACTTTGTGCTTCTTAAATTACACAATGACATATTTCTGCTTTTATATTTCAATCAATCAATCACGAGAAAGTGCAACCATCTCTCAACCTGTATTTCAATAATATCTACTTTTTAAACATGAGCTGACAAAGAGAACACTGAGATGTGTTCATGTACAGAATTTACATCACATGTAGGCACATGTATCAGTCTGTTCCCATTTTGGCGATCAGTTCATCGCAGATCTTGGTGAGCTCCTCGATCTCTTGGTTCTGTGAGAGACAGACACAAGTTTTAGAAAATGATCTCACAGATCTGCCAGGACAGAAACACGTCTCCATAAAGGTACGATGAAAGGCTCTGAATCTGTTGGCAGAGAAAAGGTTTCCATGTACCTTGCACAGCAGCCAATGAATAAACAGGCTTAATCCAGTGTGCTGCATTTCAAACACTAATAATCTGAGCACACACAGGTATTTGGTAACACAGTTGTTTAGCTGACATCCATCAACAAAATAGAAAACTGCGAACAACATGCTTTTCTCCCCATATAACTTCCAATGCATTGTGGGCTTAGTAAATGAAACACTGCACTCTAGTGTCTCATTCCATGCTGGCACATTTTTACAAGCAGTGCTCATTTCCTGCACGTGTATAAACACAGCAAAAGATGATAATGAAACTGTAATGAAACAACACAATTAACCCATGTTTTTACATTGGGAGTAAAAATTTCCAGTTTTACAATACAGGAAAATGTTTGTTTGCATTGAAAGAGTAAGAAAAATATGTGTAGTTCGTCATGATGCAAATAGTAAAAAGCTGATGGGAGCACATGTTTATCTGCAACCAAATTTAAAGGCAAAATCAAATTTAACAAACAGACAGGAAACCACTGGTTCTGTGGGAGTTGTGGTGAATTCTATTAGTTTACATGCAGCTGTACTTCACACATTTTACCAAACTTTACATTTGAAAACTGTTAATTGCTTAGTACCATGTATTCACTCATACTACCTTTTGAAGCACAGCTCTTTCAAGTGACTCCACCTTCATCTGCTCCATCCTCAGGCTGGCGTTCAGAGCCACGCCCTCAGTGTTGGCCTTGGCTCGCACCTGGGCTATCTCTTCATTCGCCCTTCGAAATTCGAGGAGCAGAGGAGAGGAAGGAGGGAGGAGATGATTGTCAGAATCAGACTTGAACTCCAGTGGATTTATTCAAATCCTGTCTTATGACACTTACTTGTCCAGTTTCTCCTCAGCATGAACCTTGAGAGTCTGGTACCGCTGCTCCTCCTGCTTGATCCTCATCAGGTAGTCCTGTGCACACTTCTTCAGCACCTCCTCATTCTGTACAGATGCATGTAGAGAGTATATAGTGAGCTGATTGTTACATGAAGGTGGAATGAACTGCACAATGCCATATAAAGCTGTACTGACCTTCTTGAAGCCCTCCAGGACTCCCTTCAAGGACTCATACCTCCTGAAGAGGTCAGCGAAGGAGCGCTCCACTGAGTTGAGGTCAGCGAGAGCCTGATCTCTCTCTAAGGTCAGCTGCCTCACTGACTTACTGCAGGACAGTGTCTTCTGCTGCTGCTCATCCTCTACAGACAGACAGAGAAAAGGTTTATGCAAACAACTCAAGACTGAAACAGTGCTGTTGAACACAGCCTACAAATGTGTGGACACAACGGTTGTGTTGTGAGTATTTGGTTGTGTTATGAGTATATGGATGTATTCTGAGTATTTCGTTGTGTTATGAGTATTTGTTTGTATTATGAGTATATGGTTGTGTTGTGAGTATTTAGTTGCATTGTGAGTATTTGGTTGTGTTGTGAGTATTTGATTGTATGAGTGATGTGTGTGTGTGTGTGTGTGTGTGTGTGTTTGGTCTGTCGGGGAGCAAACATACACGCACACTGGTATTTCTCCATTTGCATTCGTTTTGTGAGTATTTGCATGTGTTAGTTTACATTGTAGTGCATTGAGCTCACATTATGTGAAGTGAATAGTTGTTACCTCCATCTACAGTTTAGGGATGAGGGGTAAATACACACACACTACTGACAATAAGCTATGAGGTGCTGTGTCTGTTAAATGAGAAAAAAAACATATAGAAAAGTATCACCACCAGGGGGCAGGAGCTTACCAATCATCTGTGCAACTGTCTTCTCATACTCTGCAACTATTTTCCTGAAAAGAAGAGAGCAGTCCTCTGTCAGCTTTGCTGATCGGGACATTTCTACATTTGTGCTGTCATGTTTTGTAAACAGTAAGTGAGGTGCTAGAGTAGCTACCAGTGAAACTTCATACCTCATCTCAAAAACCTCAGCTCTGCTTTCCTCACACTTTCTCTTCCACTCGTTGACCTCAATCTCTTTAGTGATGATCTGGTTAGAGGACAAAGAGAAAAAGGAAATAAACTGATTAGATATGTTTAAATCTGGAATAGTGATTATCATCAGATTTACTTCACTCGGTCAGTGATGTATACCTCTTCTCTGATCAGGGTGAGAACTGCAGCCTTGTCCATCTCACTCAGTGCTATGTTGTCCTGGCTCAAGGCTCCTGGGTCTGTGGCATCTTTGCTGGTAATCTTCAGAGTTGTGTTCATGCATATCTCACCCTGTAGAACACGCAGAAAACATAATGTGCTCAGTTTGACAAGATCTGATCCATGATCTTCAAATGTATGGTTGTTTTTATTCCTATTCTTATTAACAGCTTTTATCTAACCAGGTTATTCCCATTGTGGTTAATAATCTCTTTTACAAGGGAGACCAGGCATTAAAGTTTGATTGTATGAAATACTTGCACACAGACAACCTGTGCCTTGTTTCTAATCAATCATTAATAAATAATAAATCAATAAATAAATTATTTCAGACATTAGTACCTATTAGTCACATGATGCCTTTGAAAAGAGTGTTCTGAAAAAACTGCTTACATTCATGGTGATTTAACAAATCAACATTTGTATTGTCTCACCATTGCAGAGGTTATCTTTGATACATATTGTGTGAGTAAAAACTATTTGGTTCTTGTAGCAAAATAACTTGTGACTGAAACACAAGTCAAATGTTGATTCAGTATGAAAATAAAAACTAAGACTCCAATTATGAATAAACTTATCATTTACTGAGATGATGCTCAACAAACTGCTTGTGTTGAATTATTATGACTAACACCTGCCTGTGGTTCCTACAGTACTTACTATATCTTCCTTCAGGCTGCAGAGGTCCTTCTCCTCCTGCTGATCTGAAATCTTTGACTCAGGGCCTTTGAAGAAAAAAACACGTAATTCAGACACATGTTAATTGTACTAACTACTCATATCCCAATTACAAAAGGAAGAAGCATGTATCTTAAACATTAAGAATCTGGAAATGTAAGTATTCGTCTTGTTTTTGTGATAAAAAGATTTTGAACAGTGTAATATTTGCACCACTGACACAGACACAGTTTTAATTCACAATTGTGGGAAGCATCGGTTCCCTGGTGTCATATTTATAACTTCCTCATATCCAGGAGAGAGGTTTTTGCTGAGTTTGCAGGCTAAGTTTTATAATTTGACAGATTTTTGGAGCATTACAGTTACTCTCACTCCCCTGCAGTCTCATTTTGCTTGTTCGTGTTTTTTGGTTCAGCTGACACCGCTCTGCGGATGCCTACTTCTCCCACCTTCAATACTCTCATATAAAGTGGCACTATTACCACATCACAAGGGGATTTATATGTTCAGGTGGAATAACAGAGACAAGACCTGTCATTTTGACATAAACATACATTTCTTTGTGAACACATTGGTCTGACAGCTGTTCCACTGAGGCTGGCTTAAAATTAAATCAAAGTTCATCTCTAGCCTGGGCGCTTCATTTTCCCAAGCGAAACAACACTCTTGAATATTACGCAACAGAGAAAATCTGAATCTGAAACCTACCATCCATAACAGATATTTCATTGATTGGCTGTTTCACTGGTGCTTTATTGCATTCAGGTTCTCCCTTCTCCTTCTGGCTCTCCGTTGTCTCTCCCATGATGCCATTGGAGGCCAACTTCTCCTCATCAGTGGCATGATGAACCCGCTGAGTGATCTCCGGGGTCTGAACCACCACCTCGTCTTCCCCCTGCAAACAAGAGACCCCACATTATAATATGACTTATATCACTCAACTATAAAATGTTCTGTTGTGATATGAAAACTTTCATGACCTAATGAGGGTACAGCAGATTAATTCAGACACTCATCACAACCCCAGAGATCCAATATAACTACATAGTTTTGTGAGTATATTCCACCTGCTTAATGCCAGGGAAGTAACACTCAGATCAATTGTGTTAGGGTATCTTAGGTCCTCTGCGGCAGTACAATATCTCAAGGATATCTCCTGAGAGTGGAGCAGGTGATAATGTTGAGTTCATGTAGGAGCAGCAGACTGATATTTGACAGCAGAGTGTTAAGTCACAGTTCTGCACAGGACACTGCTGATGCTTCCATCGGCTAGCGTGACTGTGTGTGTGTGTGTACTTGTGTGTGTTGAGAGGTGAGGCCAAGTGGTTGGACAGCTGCCGAATAATGGACATTGCGGTGTCACTGCAGTAAAGCGAAACATTTCAGCTGACACAACACTCACACACACACACACGTATATGTACACACACATAAAGCCAAAACCCACACATTACCTGATTACACACATCAAGCACCAGGGACTGGCTTTCATCATATTTCTGTACTTTACAGGAATTCCTACAAAACAAGCACATGGAAACAACACAACAGTTCAAAATATAAATATGACTAAAAAGCAGAGATCAAATTCAAGTTTCTATAACCATAAAGCTGCAAACGTTTCTGAGCCTTGTTGCATGTGAGTTGAGCCGCATACATTTATAACCACACAGGTGCTGCCCAGCTTCCACAAGGGATCACGAGACAGGACAAATTAAACAGTGAGGGATCGGCCTTACAAGTTGGGGGGACACTGAGGGAGACACGTGCTCGCTCAAAGGTCAGTTCATGTCACGATGGGATTAAAATGGCGAGGGGCATGCGTGAGAGGCAGCGTCGATAGTGAGAGTACTTACAACAGAAAACAGAGAAACTTGACTTGTTCAGATTTCCTGAGGCCGAGAGAGGTGGGCGAAAGCAGAGGTTGAGGGAGTTGCGCAACAGACAAGAGGAGGAAGGATGAAGGATGAAGGGGGATAGAGCGAGGCATGGGGAGGGTTTTCATAAGGGAACAAAGAACAGGGGGAAGAAACAAACGTGTTCAGCTCAACATGTTAGATACTCAGCAGATAGTTTAAGGTTTGAGCAGACACACAAGATGCCGACAAGCCTGGAAAAGCTAGTTTGAACAGTGCATGCGCACTTTTAACAGTCTATTTATAACCTATATGGGAATTACATCAAGGGTCAGTATGCAGTGTTAAGTGTTTGTCATGTGTTCAAAGCATTGTTTGGTATGCATCCAGACACCCTCACTGACTGAATGTAGATAATAATATGTGATATTTATCTTTTATCTTCTGGGGCAAGAAAGGAAGAATGCAGACATGGATGGAAAATTCAATGTCATATGTCAGGAGACTAACCTCTCTTTGCTTTTCTTGGGCATCTGCCTCACTTTCTTCTCACCAGGCAATTGCCCAGCTTTCTGTTTTACTCCGTCATTCACTTTCTTCTCTGGCTGAGTGGCACTACTGGATGATTCCTCTGTGCTCAGGCTTTTGGAGGATTTGAAAGGGTCCACAGAGTCATCAAATTTGTCTGGGTCGAAGCTGTAAGAGCCCTTAGGCAGCACAGGAGAGCTGCTCGTGTTGCTGTTACTACCAAACGGATTGAAGTTCGGGTCATCCCACTGGCTGGGATCAAAGTTGTATGTTCCTGTTTTAGGAATAGGAATGTCGTCAAGGTTCAGAGGAGCGGAAGAGTCTGAAACTGGCAAAGAGGTTTCTGGGAGAGGATCTGAAACAGGTTCTGATATTTCCTGGGAAATTGGTTCGAATTCTGGTTCTGGTTTAGATACTGGTTCTGACTCTGTGGCTTCTGGTGCAGGTTTGCTGGAAGCCTCTTGTCTTTTGGGCCTCTGCTTCTTAGCTGTGAGTCTACTGATTGTCTTTTTTCCACCTAATTTCCTCGGAGGTGGTTTGCTAACTGGCCCCTCATCCAGACCAAACTCCAGTATGACAGGTTTGGTCTCAGATGAGGGCTCCATCATCTGTGCTTCTGCTGCTGAGTTGGCTTCGCAAACAGGAAATGAGCTACCAGGTGGCTCAAGTCTCGGTAGAGAGTTTGAACTGCATGGGGGAGGAGAGTTTTGGATTTTTGATCCACCGCTGGTAAAGGGGTTAAAGCTCATATCCAGCTGGTCAGGGTCAAAGTTGTATGTGGCCTTGGGAACAGAAAGTTCTTGTTCCTCATTTGATTGTCCAAGCTCGTCCAATGAAGCCTTCATTTTCAGAGACGGAGGCTTAGATTTGCTGGTTTTAGTCTTTTGAATTGGCTCCATTTGTTTGGGGAGGCCATTGCACTCTGGTTCTGAAACAGGGAAAGGTTTTTCCTCAGGGGGCTCCAGAGTTTGGTTGAGTGCTGGTTCACTGCTCTGCACTGAGTCTGGGTCTGGTGCTGGGGCTGAGAATGGAGCAGGAGCTGGGGCTAAGATTGGGGCAGGAGCTGGAGCTAAGATTGGGACAGGAGCTGGGGCTGGGGCTGAGATTGGGGCAGGAGCTGGGGCTAA